TGGACATACTGGTCTGATGTTTTTCTAATGGCTGAAGAACTACAGTACTCCCACTGTGTGAACATACACGGTAACTAAATATGACTGAAGAGTAACCCACAACAGGGATGAATGTTTCAGACAACAAATATTAAGACTTAGTGCTTTATGTAACTAAAATTAAGACTTAGTGCTACATGTGACTAACATTAAGACTTAGTGCTACATGTAACTAACATTAAGACTTAGTGCTACATGTAACTAACATTAAGACTTAGTGCTACATGTAGCTAACATTAAGACTAAGTGCTACATGTAACTAACATTAAGGCTTAGTGCTACATGTAACCAACATTAAGACTAAGTGCTACATGTAACCAACATTAAGACTTAGTGCTACATGTAATTAACATTAAGACTTAGTGCTACATGTAACCAACATTAGGGCTAAGTGCTACATGTAACTAACATTAAGGCTTAGTGCTACATGTAACCAACATTAAGACTAAGTGCTACATGTAACCAACATTAAGACTTAGTGCTACATGTAATTAACATTAAGACTTAGAGCTACATGTAACTAACATTAAGACTTAGTGCTACTTGTAGCTAACATTAAGACTAAGTGCTACATGTGACTAACATTAAGACTTAGTGCTACATGTAACCAACATTAGGGCTAAGTGCTACATGTAACTAACATTAAGGCTTAGTGCTACATGTAACCAACATTAAGACTTAGTGCTACATGTAACCAACATTAAGACTTAGTGCTACATGTAACCAACATTAAGACTTAGTGCTACATGTAACCAACATTAAGACTTAGTGCTACATGTAACTAACATTAAGACTTAGTGCTACATTTAGCTAACATTAAGACTAAGTGCTACATGTGACTAACATTAAGACTAAGTGCTACATGTACCTAACATTAAGACTTAGTGCTACATGTAACCAACATTAGGGCTAAGTGCTACATGTAACTAACATTAAGACTTAGTGCTACATGTAACCAGCATTAAGACTTAGTGCTACATGTAACCAACATTAAGACTTAGTGCTACATGTAATTAACATTAAGACTTAGTGCTACATGTAGCTAACATTAAGACTAAGTGCTACATGTAGCTAACATTAAGACTGTGCTACATGTGACTAACATTAAGACTTAGTGCTACATGTAGCTAACATTAAGACTAAGTGCTACATCTGACTAACATTAAGACTAAGTGCTACATGTGACTAACATTAAGACTAAGTGCTACATGTAATTAACATTAAGACTTAGTGCTACATGTGACTAACATTAAGACTAAGTGCTACATGTAACTAACATTAAGACTTAGTGCTACATGTGACTAACATTAAGACTTAGTGCTACATGTGACTAACATTAAGACTAAGTGCTACATGTAACTAACATTAAGACTTAGTGCTACATCTGACTAACATTACGACTTAGTGCTACATGTGACTAACATTAAGACTAAGTGCTACATGTAATTAACATTAAGACTTAGTGCTACATGTGACTAACATTAAGACTAAGTGCTACATGTAACTAACATTAAGACTTAGTGCTACATGTAATTAACATTAAGACTTAGTGCTACATGTAATCAACATTAAGACTTAGTGCTACATGTAATTAACATTAAGACTAAGTGCTACATGTAACTAACATTAAGGCTTAGTGCTACATGTAACTAACATTAAGACTTAGTGCTACATGTAACTAACATTAAGACTTAGTGCTACATGTGACTAACATTAGGGCTAAATGCTACATGTAATTAACATTAAGACTAAGTGCTACATGTGACTAACATTAAGACTTAGTGCTACATGTAGCTAACATTAAGACTTAGTGCTACATGTAATTAACATTAAGACTTAGTGCTACATGTGACTAACATTAGGGCTAAATGCTACATGTAATTAACATTAAGACTAAGTGCTACATGTAACTAACATTAAGACTTAGTGCTACATGTAGCTAACATTAAGACTAAGTGCTACATGTAATTAACATTAAGACTTAGTGCTACATGTGACTAACATTAAGGCTTAGTGCTACATGTAACCAACATTAAGACTTAGTGCTACATGTAACTAACATTAAGACTTAGTGCTACATGTAACCAACATTAAGGCTTAGTGCTACATGTAACTAACATTAAGACTTAGTGCTACATGTGACTAACATTAGGGCTAAGTGCTACATGTAGCTAACATTAAGACTTAGTGCTACATGTGACTATTTCCAGTAACCCAGTAAGTTGAATATGAAACTGGGCTTTTCATTCGGTATCTAGTACATTTCCGGGGTTTAACGAGGTTAAACAAATATAAGGTCATACGTCACGTCAGCTGATCAGGCACTCATTGAGTTTATACATCTAGACAGCTCTTTATTTCGTTCTCATACATCTAGACAGTAGGTGTATATATTGTCATTGAGTTCATACATCTAGATAGCTCTTTATATCGTCATTGAGTTCATACATCTAGACAGTAATTGGTGTTTATGTTGTCATTGAGTTCAGACATCTAGAAAGCTAATCATATCGTCATTGAGTTCATACATCTTGACAGTAATTGGTGTTTATATTGTCATTGAGTTCAGACATCTAGAAAGCTCTTTATATCGTCATTGAGTTCATACATCTAGACAGTAATTTGTGTTTATGTTGTCATTGAGTTCAGACATCTAGAAAGCTAATCATATCGTTATTGAGTTGATACATCTTGACAGCTCTTTATATCGTCATTGAGTTCATACATCTTGACAGTTCTTTATATCGTCATTGAGTTCATACATCTACACAGCTCTTTATATCGCCATTGAGTTCATTCATCTTGACAGCTCTTTATATCGCCATTGAGTTCATACATCTAGACAGTAATTGGTGTTTATGTTGTCATTGAGTTCAGACATCTAGAAAGCTAATCATATCGTTATTGAGTTCATACATCTAGACAGCTCTTTATATCGTCATTGAGTTCATACATCTAGACAGCTCTTTATATCGTCATTGAGTTCATACATCTAGACAGCTCTTTATATCGTCATTGAGTTCATACATCTAGACAGCTCTTTATATCGTCATTGAGTTCATACATCTAGACAGCTCTTTATATCGTCATTGAGTTCATACATCTAGACAGCTCTTTATATCGTCATTGAGTTCATACATCTTGACAGCTCTTTATATCGTTATTGAGTTCATACATCTAGACAGCTCTTTATACCGTCATTCAGTTCAGACATCTAGATAGCTCTTTATATCGTTATTGAGTTCATACATCTAGACAGCTCTTTATATCGTCATTGAGTTCATACATCTAGACAGCTCTTTATATCGTCATTGAGTTCATACATCTAGACAGCTCTTTATATCGTCATTGAGTTCATACATCTTGACAGCTCTTTATATCGTTATTGAGTTCATACATCTAGACAGCTCTTTATATCGTCATTCAGTTCAGACATCTAGATAGCTCTTTATATCGTTATTGAGTTCATACATCTAGACAGCTCTTTATATCGTTATTAAGATCATAAATCTAGACAACAGTTTATATCGTCATTGAGTTCATACATCTAGACAGCTCTTTATATCGTTATTAAGATCATAAATCTAGACAACAGTTTATATCGTCATTGAGTTCAGACATCTAGACAGCTGTCCATTTCGTCATTGAGTTCATACATCTAGACAGCTGGTCACATCGTCATTGAGTTCAGACATCTAGACAGCTGTTTATATCGTCATTGAGTTCATAAATCTAGACAGCTGGTCATATCGTCATTGAGTTCATAAATCTAGACAGCTGGTCATATCGTCATTGAGTTCATACATCCAAACAGCTGTTTATGTCGTTATTAAGTTCATACATCTAGACAACTGATCATGTCTTCATTGAGTTCATACATCTAGACAGCTGTTTATATCGTTATTGGGCTCATACATCTAGACAGCTGTTTATATCGTTATTGAGTTCATACAACTAGACAGCTGATCATATCGTCATTGAGTTCATACATCTAGACAACTGATCATATCGTTATTGAGCTCATACATCTAGACAGCTGTTTATATCGCCATAGAGTTCATACATCTAGAGAGCTTTTCATATTGTTATGTAGTTCAACCATCGTGATATCCAAGCACATCGACAAATTATAGTGCAAGTTAGAGTTAGAGACAGAGATATGTGAACAAAGCTAACGATTTAACCCACTCATCCACCGAGGCATCCACAAAATCAAGTTTAGATCACGGACAATATGTACTTCTCTGAGAAATAGGACTTATCTCAATTAAGAACAAAAACCTTTACTTCACTAAGGCATACATAGAGGAAATTGTATGAGTGCCCGTGTCATACTATGTTTACGACACGAGTGCCTAAATATTGGTATTTCCCGAGCAGGAGCGAGGGATATACCGATATTTAGGCACGGAAATAAACAGAACATTATATTCGTGCATGGGCTCGAATATAATATCCTCTATATACAACATGTGTTACAACATCTCACTAATTACAACGTGAAACCATAGCTTCAACTCACTGTCACGAATTACTTCCCTATATTCAATTTGTGTTTTAAGCAAACCAGTTCACAGGTCACACAGTGTCGCTATTACGGAAAAGGAAAGTTGTGTTTTTTCAATTTTCACGTTATATCTTTTAGTCTATACGCAAGCAACAAGCCACCAGTTGGGATATGTGCTTTAATGTGAGTACCGTATGTGCTCTATTCTTGCTTTAATGTCGACATTGGTTGATATAAGTGGATAACAACAATTATTTTGACCCTTTGAGTATGTTTAGAGAGATACAAATCAGCGAAATTTCCTGTTGGTTCCTACAGGGCGTAACACTAATGAATATCTTGACAAATATTCATGAGAATAGTGAGTGATTTTAGTTTTCGCCGCTTTTAGCAATATTTCATAATATCACGGCGGGGGGACTTCAGAAATGGGCTTCACCCATTGTACCCATGTGGGGAATCGATCCCGGATCTAAGGAGTGACGGGCGAACGCTTTAACCTCGGGACTACTCAACCGAGTATTACAGAAAAGGGTAAGAAGGTTACACATCGAGACGGGTTCTTTTGTTCAATAGGTTAGCATTACAACGTTCAAACAGCATGAGGACATACATATATATATTTGTGATGGTGATAAGCATTTATGTTGGTAGATGCCAGCTGTGAGAGACAGAGGATTGATCTTCATCACCGCAGTAGCATGTTTGTTTATCTGCATCCTGTTCCATGCACAAGGTAGGTAACTCTTACAATTTATTGTGTACCGCTACGTTTTAACACTGTGTGATTGGGACGTTTGTTAGATGGCAACTACTTTTAAACAAGCATTTACCCAGTGATCTAATCGTATCATTTTCACACGCAGGTTTGCTTTTCATCCCAGTGGTATTTTCAGATAACCGAGACAGGATATCTTGTGGTTATGTAAGGAAAACGTGCAAGGATAACCGAACAGATTAAATATTTATCTCAACACATCGTGTGAAGACATCCGGCACTTCCGGTTTCATCTGTTTCTGTCTTCATCCCAGTCTTACTTATCAAATAGTTGAATATTAGTTAAAATATTATATACTATAGTATTTATTTATAATATATTTAACTATAGTCCGTTTTCTCCAAATGACAAACATGAATTAACTCAAACTCGGGAATAGACTAGTTAATGTGAGTGTGGTACATGGTAATGGACCCGTGAAGATCCGGGTTAGAATTGATCTTCAGTAACCCATGCTTGTTGTAAGAGGCGACTAACGGATCGGGTGGTCAGGACTCGCTGACTTGGTTGACACATGTCATCGTATCCCAAATGAGTAGATCGATGCTCATGGTGTTGATCACTGGATTGTCTGGTCCAGACACGATTATGTACAGACCGCCGCCGTATAACTGAGTTATTTCTGAGTGCGGCGTAAAACAACAAACCAGCCAACATGGCAATGAATAGCCTGTAGCCAACAATATCTGTTGTTTGTTATTTTTAACCATCATGGAAAAAGTTGTATAAGAAACTGTAATGTTGTCATGTGTACAACCTGACATGTCGTCATGTAACCAATTAAATTTAAAGAAAATACGTCTTGTATAAATTAAATATGTTTTTGCTTAGGTGTTCCTGAGCTGATATGTCCCCCTGGAATAATTGAGATTGGAACCTCAGCTGTACTCATCTGTTCTTCATCTACTGCCAATGCCACCCTTCAATTCACTGACCCTAATGGAACTCCGATTCAGTGTGACCCGAAAACATCATTTTGTCCCAAAATTCCGGGTTATAATGCTTCAGTACTGAACGAAACTCAGACGCAATTACAAGTAAACAAGGTCAAGCCAAGCCACGGAGGTAACTGGACATGCAAGGAACTTGGTCAACCCAATGACAACAAAGACGGATGCTCCATCACTGTCAGACGTAAGTAGTGCTTGAAACAAATTACAAATCCCTATCTGACATACTTATGTGTTTTTATACATATCCTACCACCACCACATCCTTTAAATGTGTACATAACCATCATTACACTTCTAACGTAGAGTCACGCTGAAGACCCGGGTTCGATTCCCCACATGGGTACAGTGTGTGAAGCCCATTTCTGGTGTCCCCGCCGTTATATTGATGGAATATTGCTAAAAGCGGCGTCAAACCATACTCACACACTCACTCTAACGTAGAGACCCGAGAAGATCCGGGTTTAGAATTGATCTTCAGTAACCCATGCTTGCCGTAAGAGGCGACTAAAGGGATCGGGTGGTCAGGCTTGCTGACTTGGTTGACACATGTCATCGTTTCCCAAATGAGTAGATCGATGCTCATGGTGTTGATCACTGGATTGTCTGGTCCAGACACGATTATGTACAGACCGCCGCCGCCATATAGCTGGAATAGCAGAGTGCGACGTAAAACTCCTTGTTATGATCCAATACCCGTGCTACAAACAGTTTCAAAATTAACATCGAGGTGCACGGTGAGATAAATACGTTGTTCACTGGTCCCTCAGGGCCCATGGGTTGATATACCCTCGATGTTTGTTTATGTTCCCTGAGCCCGAACATAAACAAACATAGAGGGTTCATCAACCCATGCCCCCCTCGAAACCAGCGAACAACTTATGATATGTTCCTCAGAAATATTATTCCCTTTACATCAAACGGAATTTATTTCTTCGGATATTCAAGACTATTCTTTTGCACTAACGTTCTATGTTTATGTCTGAATGAGCTCCGAAACAATGCCATATGCTGCCATACCCTTGTGTCTCTGCTACAAGTGTGTGGTGACATGAAGCTTTGTATTTCTTTTGGTGTCGATTATTTTCAACTGAATATGGTTTTTTTAGATATTAATTTACTTTTGTTGTAGAGAATCCATCGTGCAACATAAAAAGTGACAGAGACGCCACAACACTTCAGGTACACGAGACCATATCCCTCACAGTGGAAAGTTTTGGCTTTTACTGTTCTGCGGAAAACAATTTCACGCTCCAGACGGGGAGTGTCAGAGAATTCCTGGATACAAGAACACATATGCACACGACAAATGCAACCAATGGAAACGCAAAGGTTCCAATAGAACTGATCATAACGGAATCGCATTTTGGTGAAGTTAGGCTGATATTTCTTTGTCATAATGAAGAAATAAACATGACATGTCGTGGTACTGAACGCTTTAAAGGTGAGTAGTTAAACTATAATTATTTTAAATCAGATACGCTTCTTCGAGAGATATTTTCCAGCTTCCTCATATATTTTCATGACCTAAAAGGAAATTTCCGGCATATAACCACACATCACTGAACGAAATATCCTGGAATGAGATTTCTTGCCTTTAGAAACCTATTTTGTTGCTAAGAAGATATTCCAACATTTCTAACTTGTCATCCACCTGACGTGACCGTGAACAGAATGGAGACTATAAAGTATTACAACGAGCCATACACCTATCACTTTATAGATCGCATCTTGCAATATGCATTTAACGATATTTGCATTTGATTTAAAAGGAGGAAAAGGTTTCCTAGTTCCAGTTGTCCTGGGAACTGTCAGCATCCTTATCATCATCAGCAGCATCCTGATCTGTATTGTGAAGAGAAACAGGAAGGCATTGCGTCCCTCCCTCGAGCACCATAACACCGCAGATGACGTGAGTGAAGGGGATTCGATCGAGTTATATGAGGATCCAAGTGTTTCATTGCGTGATGAGGCCCTCACTGGGGCGCTGAGAAATGTTGGTGAAGATGACGGAGCGTATTTAACGATACAGGTGCTTGGCCAACAAGTATAGATTGTTACCAAGCTGAACTGAAATCTGTGAAGTCTACGTGAGAGAAACACTAATTATTGAATTAAATATTGTAATAAAATGATCCAGCAACACCATGGGGTCCCACTCGCTGTAGTTTGATCAATAAAACTAATCTACATATGTCCGCAAACATTACTTCCCCATTGTGATTGTGATTATGACTTGTACACATTTCAGTGAGTTAGGCTTACCTCTGTGGATCTGTACATCTGCCACTCTATGTACAATGCTTACTATATAGTGGTCATATACATGGCTGCAGTCACTGTTTTTATATAAATAAATATATATGAATAAATTTGATAAATCAGTGCTTTTTCCGATTTTATTTCATTTCCTTGATAGGCGTGAAGGCGTTCAGAGACCTTAAAATGAAGGTCAAGCCAATGTCACTCTATGACAGTTGGTAGATTATGATGTGTTGGGACATCACAATGACTTAGCGAACGCCATAATGTGTATGGAAGGATCACTGGATATTACCATGGAGACAGTATACTTACATCTATTGTTACGCCTATCGTTGTACCTAACGGGATCGGGTGGTCAGGCTCGCTGGCTTGGTTGACACATGTCATCGGTTCCCATTTGCGCAGATCGATGCTCATGCTATTGATCACTGGATTGTCTGGTCCAGGCTCGATTATTTACAGACCGCCGCCATATAGCTGGAATATTGCTGAGTGCGGCGTAAAACTAACCTCACTCACTCACTATTGTTGTACCTTTCGTAGGGCGTGTGAGTGGACGTTGAGTCTTTAGGGGCGTCAACAGTGTGCTCACCGTTCACAAATCAGTAATGCTCACCTTCTGCAAAACCAACATCAACGTCTGACGTTTTCCCTCATTCATGATGTCTCAGACAATATTGGACCATCGATCACATTGGCTGAACTTGGTCAGGCGCTGCAGGAGGAGTGGGATATTTCACACACGCAAATCACTTTTTGGAAACTCAGAAGCGGTATCCCTCGTCGAGTGACACTGTTGGAATTGTTACGTTATTTCCTAGTATTTTATCTTAGGATCAAACCGTTTGGTACTTTGCACAACAGACACCAAAACGTCACCTTTGCAATTGTCAACTTTTCCCTATCGTTCTTCCAGATCTTTGAGGACCATTACATTCACTGTCACGCTTAACTAATGTTGTATTACTAGACTGTACATTGTTGGACATTTCCTAGCATCTTCTACCTTTTTGTAAGTGGGTCAGTTTAGTTTTACTCCGCACTCAGCAATAATCCAGCTATATGGCGGCGGTCTGTAAATACCAATGTATGGACCAGACAGTGTTGAACACCATGTCATCGATCTCCGATTGGATACGATGACATGTGTCAACCAAGTCAGTGAGCCTGACCTTCCTATCCTGTTATTCGCTTTTACGACAAGCATGGGTTGCTAAAGACTAATCCAGATCTTCAAGGGTCCATGTTGACTGAATGCTGGCTTGTATCTAGAAATGCGATGTAGCATTAAAAAGTCATTCATATTTATTTATGCACATTAACGTATATCAATAAATATACAAACATAGGTGTGAAGTCGAACACAAGTCTTATTTTCTTATTTAACATGCATACGGTTACATATATATCTCCTCATTCCTGTCCATTCATCATGGGGGGCGGGGGATTGGGGTAGCCCACTGGTTAAAACGTTCGCTCGTCACGCCGAAGGCCTGAGTTCGATTCCCCTCAAGGGTGCAATGTGTGAAGCTCATTTCTGGTGTCCCTCGCCGTGATATTGCTGGAATATTGCTAACAGCGGCGTAAAACTAAACCCACTCACTCATTTATCATGGCTTATCTTATTGCTCCTGCTATATTTAACAGTCTGACAAGGATTTAGAAACTGTCACGTTCGCCTTATCACACAAACATAGTAACTGCACACATTAGCACCAATCATGCACCACCTGAAACCAGCGGCAATTTGTTTAAAAATTCATCATAATTACCTAAGCTTACTTGAGTGCTCACTTAAAGCACGTGTTTCATGTAACATAACATAATGGGTCAGGTCACATATACAAGGCGCCAAACACAATGGGGTATCAATAACGCAAGTGGACACACGCACACCTACACACATGCAAACACACGCACACTTGTGTAAAAACGCATAAACAAGTATACATGTAAATACAATGCACTACACACACACACACACACACACACACACACACACACACACACACACACACACACACACATATATATATATATATATGAAAGGAGTGGGGCAGGACTGAAACTCCCAGGACTCAAGCTGCCAAACACTGTCACCCATCCAAGGACTCTCCACGCTCAACTTTGTTTAACTTCAACTGATTTGTGACCTCAGCTCTATGCACAGGGCCACACGCCAATATGCAATATTATTGTGAAAGGATCATCCCCGGGCTGTTATTGTGGACTCAATATTACTCTTAATTACGCTTACGAGTTTCACATGTAAAATAAGTGGATGAAGACACCTGTTAGTGTAAGAAGTTCACAGGAGGTGAGGTGAGGTGAAATTGGGTTTTTACGTCGTGCTTGAGAATATTTCGCTCATATGACGACGTGCATGCGTGTGTATGTGTATGTGCGGCTGCTTGTACTAGCCCAGACTGAAGCTAGCCCACTGAGATACCATGCCGCAGTGAAGCATGAATACCCCACTCAGACACATTATACTGACTCCGAGCCGACCAGTCCTTGTTGTACCCATTAATGCCGAGCGCCAGGCAGGGACCAACAAGTACCATATTTTAACGTCTTTTGGCCAGATTCTCCGTCCGCAAGTCCTTCACTTTGTTGACCGTCAACGGCAGCTCTTCCAACAGGACAACGCCAGGCCCCACACAGCACGTGCCACCGTCGACTACCTAGCCAATAACAACATCAATACTCTCCCCTGGCCCTCCAGATCCCCGGATCTAAACCCAATCGAACACCTTTGGGATCAGATCGATAGACGGGTACGTCGACGTCTTATTCCACCACAGAATCTTCAACAGTTGTTCCACATGCTGCAGGAGGAATGGAGAAGGATTCCACAACAAAACATCCAACGACTGATTCGATCTGTACCCAGGAGGTGTCGGGCAGTGGTAGCAGCTGGAGGTGGTCATACGAGGTACTGACTTCAACACCACCTGGTGGACAGCAGTAATGACTGTGATGACTGTCATTCTCATGAAATATGGACAAGATAGCAATGCATTGCTCCACAAAATTTCATTCATGTACTTTGTTTTCCGCTGATTTATACGTCCCTGAATAACACCATATTTTCATTGATATTTGGGTTTTGCGTTTCTTTTTTTGAAGAGTGTATAACATGTGTTACAACATCTCACTAATTACCAGTGAAACCATAGCTTCAACTCACTGTCACGAATTACTTCCCTATATTCAATTTGTGTCTTAAGAAAAGCAGTTCACAGGTTACACAGTGTCGCTATTACGGAAAAGGAAAGTTATGTTTTTTTTCAATTTTCATGCCCTACTGCGACGGGGCGCACCACTAACGAATATCCGGACAAATATTCATGAGAATAGTGAGTGATTTTAGTTTTCGCCGCTATTTAGCAATATTTCATAATATCACGGCGGGGGACTTCAGAAATGGGCTTCACCCATTGTACCCATGTGGGGAATCGAACCCGGATCTAAGGAGTGACGGGAGAACGCTTTAACCACGGGACGACTCAACCGAGTATTACAGAAAAGGGTAAGAAGGTTACACATCGAGAAGGGTTCTTTTGTTCCATAGGTTAGCATTACAACGTTCAAACAGCATGAGGACATACATATATATATTTGTGATGGTGATGAGCATTTATGTTGGTAGATGCCAGCTGTGAGAGACAGAGGATTGATCTTCATCACCGCAGTAGCATGTTTGTTTATCTGCATCCTGTTCCATGCACAAGGTAGGTAACTCTTACAATTTATTGTGTACCGCTACGTTTTAACACTGTGTGATTGGGACGTTTGTTAGATGGCAACAAGCATTTACCCAGTGATCTAATCGTATCATTTTCACACGCAGTTTTGCTTTTCATCCCAGTGGTATTTTTAGATAACCGAGACAGGATATCTCGTGGCTATGTAAGGAAAACGTGCAAGGATAACCGAACAGATTAAATATTTATCTCAACACATCGTGTGAAGACATCCGGCACTTCCGGTTTCATCTGTTTCTGTCTTCATCCCAGTCTTACTTATCAAATAGTTGAATATTAGTTAAAATATTATATACTATAGTACATGTATTTATTTATAATATATTTAACTATAGTCCGTTTGTCTCCAAATGACAAACATGAATTAACTCAAACTCGGGAATAGACTAGTTAATGTGAGTGTGGTACATGGTAATGGACCCGTGAAGATCCGGGTTAGAATTGATCTTCAGTAACCCATGCTTGTTGTAAGAGGCGACTAACGGATCTGGTGGTCAGGCTCGCTGACTTGGTTGACACATGTCATCGTATCCCAAATGAGTAGATCGATGCTCATGGTGTTGATCACAGGATTGTCTGGTCCAGACACGATTATGTACAGACCGCCGCCGTATAACTGAGTTATTTCTGAGTGCGGCGTAAAACAACAAACCAGCCAACATGGCAATGATTAGCCTGTAGCCAACAATATCTGTTGTTTCTTATTTTTAACCATCATTGAAAAAGTTGTATAAGAAACTGTAATGTTGTCATGTGTACAACCCTGACATGTCGTCATGTAACCAATTAAATCTAAAGAAAATACGTCTTGTATAAATTAAATATGGTTTTGCTTAGGTGTTCCTGAGCTGATATGTCCTGGAATAATTGAGATTGGAACCTCAGCTGTACTCATCTGTTCTTCATCTACTGCCAATGCCGCCCTTCAATTCACTGACCCTAATGGAACTTTGATTCAGTGTGACACGAAAATGTCATTTTGTCCCAAAATTCAGGGTTATAATGCTTCAGTACTGAACGAAACTCAGACGCAATTACAAGTAAACAAGGTCAAGCCAAGCCACGGAGGTAACTGGACATGCAAGGAACTTGGTCAACCTAATGACAACAAAGACGGATGTTCCATCACTGTCAGACGTAAGTAGTGCTTGAAACAAATTACAAATCCTATCTGACATACTTATGTGTTTTATACATATCCTACCACCACCACATCCTTTAAATGTGTACATAACCATCATTACACTTCTAACGTAGAGTCACGCTGAAGACCCGGGTTCGATTCCCTACATGGGTACAGTGTGTGAAGCCCATTTCTGGTGTCCCCGCCGTTATATTGATGGAATATTGCTTAAAGCGGCGTCAAAAACCATCACTCACTCACTCACTAACGTAGAGACCCGAGAAGATCCGGGTTTAGAATTGATCTTCAGTAACCCATGCTTGCCGTAAGAGGCGACTAAAGGGATCGGGTGGTCAGGCTCGCTTACTTGGTTGACACATGTCATCGTGTCCCATTTGCGCAGATCGATGTTCATGCTGTTGATCCCTGGATTGTCTTCAGACTCGATTATTTACAGACCGCCGCCATATAGCTGGAATAGCAGAGTGCTACGTAAAACTCCTTGTTATGATCAATACCCGTGCTACAAACAGTTTATAATTAACATCGAGGTGCACGGTGAGATAAATGCGTTGTTCACTGGTCCCCAGGGCCCATGGGTTGATGTACCCCTCGATGTTTGTTTATGTTCCTGAGCCCGAACATAAACAAACATAGAGAAGTTCATCAACGCATGCCCCCTCGAAACCAGCGAACAACTTATGATATGTTCCTCAGAAATATTATTCCCTTTACATCAAACGGAATTTATTTCTGAGGATATTCAAGACTATTCTTTTGCACTAACGTTCTATGTTTATGTCTGAATGAGCTCCGAAACAATGCCATATGCTGCCATACCCTTGTGTCTCTGCTACAAGTGTGTGGTGACATGAAGCTTTGTATTTCTTTTGGTGTCGATTATTTTCAACTGAATATGTTTTTTAGATATTAATTTACTTTTTTGTTGTAGAGAATCCATCGTGCAACATAACAAGTGACAGAGACGCCACAACACTTCAGGTACACGAGACCATATCCCTCACAGTGGAAATTTTGGCTTTTACTGTTCTGCGGAAAACAATTTCATGCTCCAGACGGGGAGTGTCAGAGAATTCCTGGATACAAGAACACATATGCACACGACATATGCAACCAATGGGAACGCAAAGGTTCCAATAGAACTGATCATAACGGAATCGCATTTTGGTGAAGTTAGGCTGATATTTCTTTGTCATAATGAAGAAATAAACATGAGATGTCGTGGTACTGAACGCTTTAAAGGTGAGTAGTTAAACTAGAATTATTTTAAATGAGATACGCTTCTTCGAAGGTTATTTTCCAGCTTCCTCATATATTTTCATGACCTAAAAGGAAATTTCCGGAATATAACCACACATCACTGAACGAAATATCCTGGAATGAGATTTCTTGCCTTTAGAAAGCTATTTTGTTGCTAAGAAGATATTCCAACATTTCTAACTTGTCATCCACCTGACGTGACCGTGAACAGAATGGAGACTATAAAGTATTACAACGAGCCATACACCTATCACTTTATAGATCGCATCTTGCAATATGCACTTAACGATATTTGCATTTGATTTAAAAGGAGGAAAAGGTTTCCTAGTTCCAGTTGTCCTGGGAAGTGTCGGCTTCCTTATCATCAGCAGCAGCATCCTGATCTGTATTGTGAAGAGAAACAGGAAGTCACTGCGTCCCTCCCTCGAGCACCATAACACCGCAGATGACGTGAGTGAAGGGGATTCGATCGAGTTATCTGAGGATCCAAGTGTTTCATTGCGTGATGAGGCCCTCAATGGGGCGCTGAGAGATGTTGGTGAAGATGACGGAGTGTATTCATTGGCTAAGTAGCCGACAACGATACAGGCGCTTGGCCAACAAGTACATTGTTTCCAAGCTGAACTGAAGTCTGTGAAGTCTGCGTGAGAGAAACACTAATTATTGAATTAAATATTGTTAATAAAATGATCCAGCCACACCATGGGGTCCCACTCGCTGTAGTTTGATCAATAAAACTAATCTACATTTGCCGGCAAACATTATTTCCCCAGACATCTGAAAGCACATGATCATGACCACGTAGTGAAAGTGAGACTGAGTGTCATTTTCTGGTGTCATTTACGGAAATAGACAGCATCCTTCAAGCTCAGTTGAAACCAAATGAGCATGTCATACTGAGGTCAAGAGAGATAAAGGTATGTTTTAAACATGTCATTTTGGCATGCCTGTAAAATATCAGTTGTTCAGTATACATATTGATCAATATTGACCCTTCATCTTTTTAGCCGTGCCTGACGATCTGGTCGGTTCAGTTACCGTTCATTGTTTGAATCAGGCTAAGGTTGTTGGAGAACCGCGTAACGCGGAGTGCCGGACAGTGGAGGAAATTATATAAGGCGTCACATTTAACGTTTGCATTTTATGGTATTTGCCAATAATATCTGAAACACACCTTGCCCTGGAACCTTTGGATCTATATGATAAGAAATGAAATGGGTGACTGCAATCAAGCTCTCTGCAGCATCTACTGGGGACAATATTACACGTGGCATATAGAAGATCCCCAGATTCTATAACAGAAATCACTGAAGATATTCTGGATTCCCCTTTACAAGATTGGAGATCATTCGCTGTCTCGAGGCGCTAAAGAACAACAAATCTCAGGACTTGATGACATATCGAGTGAATATCTTAAACATTCCTCCCATGTAATCGTTCCATATCTCGAGATAATATTCAATAGGATGTACCAAAAGGGTAAATTCCCAGAGACCTGGTCTACAGGAATATTCATTCCTTTTCATAAGAAAGGTGACACTTCTATCCCCGACAACTACAGAGCAATAAGCCTCCTGAGTATCCTGAGCAAAGTCTTCACGTACATCCTGAATCAGCGATTAGTGTGCTGGTCTGATGTGTTGAGTAAAAAATTTCTTGAGTGTCAATCAGGGTTTAGAAAAAGGTTATTCAGTGGTTGACAATTGTTTTGTTCTGAATTCTATTATCGAGAGCGTTATCTTTCCCGCAAAGGTGGTAAAATTCTATGTAGCTTTTTGTTGATTCTCAAAGCTTTCGATTCTGTTCAAAGACATTTTCTTTGGAAGTTATTATATAAACTACGGTCTGAGTCGTAAAATGGGTAAAATGTTAGAGTCTATTTATAATCGATGTAAAATCTTGTGTTCGCTCAAATAGTAGTTTATCTCGTGTATTTGATTGCCCAATGGGAGTCAGACAAAGGGTGTATGCTCAGCCCTTTTTTGTTTTCAGTTTTATATAAATGAATTAGTTCATGTAATTGAAAGTGAATGTCGGTTTTAGTGTCCAGCTACATCCAGATGTTACTCATATTTTTCCTTGCTTTTATTTGCGGATGACCTTATTTTTTGTTTGGGAACAGCGTAGAGAAGTCTGCAGTTTAAACTAAATATTCTTAATAGGTACTGTTCAGAATGGAAATTGTCAGTCAACATGCATACAAAAATTGTAGTTTTAAGAAAGGAGGTGGTTTATCTCGGTTTGAAAAATGGTTTTATAATGGTAGTGTTGTTGAAGTTGTTTTCAGGATATTGTTATCTCGGTTGTATTTTAGTAATGGGTTACAGTGGTCGAAAGCGTTTGAAAATATTTCCATTCAAGCCAGAAAAATGTTGTCATTACTTCTTAGTAGTATACATTCCTTGAAAGCCACACTCACCTCATCTGTATTTCAAATTATTCGATACAAAAGATAACACCAATTCTCCTCTATGGGGCTGAAATTTGGGGGCTTAATAATATGGAAGAACTGGAAAAAAGTACATATATATGCCTGCAAACGTTTTCTAAACGTTAAGTTATCAACGATCAATAATGGAGTATTAGCCGAGTGTGGTAGATATCCTGTCCAACTATCTGCTGTTTTAAAATGTATTAAATATTAGGTTAAATCTTATTAACATGCCTGGATGCCGTTTGCATATGTTACAATACGATGCGTATGTTTGATGAGAAAGGCTATGAGAACTGGGTTACCAAAGTTAGAAATATCATATTTAAATTAGGTTTTGGTGATGTTTGGGTATCACACACTTACGGAGATAAAAACGTTTTTGTTAAAATGTTTTTCAACGACTGAAGAAAGATAATTTTCGGCAAGTTTGCCATAGTGATTTATCTGAGAGCCCCAAAATGTTTACGTATTATAATTTTTAAATTAACGATTTCTTGTGAAACATACTTAACTCATATTACTTTATCCAAATACAGATCTTGTCTATCACGATTTAGGTTAAGTTCCCATAGTTTAGAAATTGAAAGAGGCCGTTACTATAACATTCCCGGGAACAAAGAACATGCAAAATGTGTAACTTAAACGTAATTGAAAATGAATATTACTTCTTACTTATCTGTCCAGCCTACATTGAATAAAGACGTAAAATATCTTTTGTCGCAGTTCTATGTTTTCCCCAATATACTAAATTTCAGTTCGTTGTTATCATCCAAAAGTATGAAGACATTTCCTTGAATACTGCTAAATATCTGTTTTATGCATTCGAAAAAAGGAAATCCAATTTTGTCATATTAAGATTGTATATATTATACATGCTTTCATTGTTATCATTTTATTTCATGTCTGCACCGATGAGGTGTTTTTGTACTCATAGGCCCGTGGCCTCATAGTATCAGAAATAAAGATTTGATTTGATTACGTGGCACTACATGTAGGATCTCATCTACTAATATGATAATTGGTTATTATTATTGTTAACTTAGTAAACATGTATTTCTGTCGTTGTCCTTAAAACTATTTAAACGTACTATTCTTACGGTAACGCTAGTAGCAATAGGTAGGAGATCATGAGTGTATTTAAAACCAAAAACATTAGAACAACGATAAATCCAGCCTGATTGTGATTATGACTTGTACACATTTCAGTGAGTTAGGCTTACCTCTGTGGATCTGTACATCTGCCACTCCATGTACAATGCTTACTATATAGTGGTCATATACATGACTGCAGTCACTGTTTTTATATAAATAATTATATATGAATACATTTGTTAAATCAGTGCTTTTCCGATTTAATTTCATTTTCCTTGATAGGCGTGAACGCGTTCAGAGACCTTAAAATGAAGGTCAAGCCAATGTCACTCTATGACAGTTGGTAGATTATGATGTGTTGGGACATCACAATGACTTAGCGAACGCCATAATGTGTATGGAAGGATCACTGGATATTACCATGGAGACAGTATACTTACACCTATTCTTACGCCTATTGTTGTACCTAACGGGATCGGGTGGTCGAGGCTCGCTGGCTTGGTTGACACATGTCATCGGTTCCCATTTGCGCAGATCGATGCTCATGCTATTGATCACTGGATTGTCTGGTCAGGCTCGATTATTTACAGACCGCCGCCATATAGCTGGAATATTGCTGAGTGCGGCGTAAAACTAACCTCACTCACTCACTATTGTTGTACCTTTCGTAGGGCGTGTGAGTGGACGTTGAGTCTTTAGGGGCGTCAACAGTGTGCTGACCGTTCACAAATCAGTAACGCTCACCTTCTGCAAAACCAACATCAACGTCTGACATGACGTTTTCCCTCATTCATGATGTCTCAGACAATATTGGACCATCGATCACATTGGCTGAACTTGGTCAGGCGCTGCAGGAGGAGTGGGATATTTCACACACGCAAATCACTTTTTGGAAACTCAGAAGCGGTATCCCTCGTCGAGTGACACTGTTGGAATTGTTACGTTATTTCCTAGTATTTTATCTTAGGATCAAACCGTTTGGTACTTTGCACAACAGACACCAAAACGTCACCTTTGCAATTGTCAACTTTCCCCTATCGTTCTTCCAGATCTTTGAGGACCATTACATTCACTGTCACGCTTAACTAATGTTGTATTACTAGACTGTACATTTGTTGGACATTTCCTAGCATCTTCTACCTTTTGTAAAAGTGGGTCAGTTTAGTTTTACTCCGCACTCAGCAATAATCCAGCTATATGGCGACGGTCTGTAAATACCAATGTATGGACCAGACAGTGTTGAACACCATGCGCATCAATCTCCGATTGGATACGATGACATGTGTCAACCAAGTCAGTGAGCCTGACCTTCCTATCCGTTATTCGCTTTTACGACAAGCATGGGTTGCTAAAGACTAATCCAGATCTTCAAGGGTCCATGTTGACTGAATGCTGGCTTGTATCTAGAAATGCGATGTAGCATTAAAAAGTCATTCATATTTATTTATGCACATTAACGAATATCAATAAATATACAAACATAGGTGTGAAGTCGAACACAGAGTCTCTTATTTAACATGCATACGGTTACATCTATATCTCCTCATTCCTGTCCATTCACCATGGGGGCGTTGGGGTAGCCCACTGGTTAAAGCGTTCGCTCGTCACGCCGAAGGTCTGAGTTCGATTCCCCTCAAGGGTGCAATGTGTGAAGCTCATTTCTGGTGTCCCCTGACGTGATATAGCTGGAATATTGCTAACAGCGGCGTAAAACTAAACCCACTCACTCATTTATCATGGCTTCTTTATCTTACTGCTCCTGCTATATTTAACAGTCTGACAAGGATTTAGAAACTGTCACGTTCGCCTTATCACACAAACATAGTAACTGCACACATTAGCACCAATCATAAACCACCTGAAACCAGCGGCAATTTGTTTAAAAATTCATCATAATTACCTAAGCTTACTTTGAGTGATCACGTAAAGCACGTGTTTCATGTAACATAACATAATGGGTCAGGTCACATATACAAGGCGCCAAACCCAATGGGGTATCAAAACGCAAGTGGACACACGTACATCTACACACATGCAAACACACGCA